TCCTTCAAAAACAAGAGAAGTGGCCGCGGGGGCAGACGGAAGCAGTAGCACGATTGGTATTCAAAATAGGATTTTCATGTGAAATTATCTGTATGAGTAAACATGGCGAAAAGGATGAACAATAGAAAAATCGTTTAGAATGAATATTAGAGAGTTTTTTTTTCAGATTTGAGATGGAGAAGCGTCCGAATATATCCGAATAAGAAACAAGATAAACATTAAAAAAAACAATGGACGATTAATTATTGTTTCTAAAATTATTATTCAAATTTTCTTTGTGTTAAATTCAAACCAACGAAAAATTCCTTAATCTGTTGAACCATCGACTGGGGGTAGACTTAAACATTTATGGGGCTCCGAGAAACCGGCATAGCATTTATTTGGATCTGAGTCCAATGTCACAAGTAAATCCACTCACATATGCTGGCTACCGTAATCCATAATCCACTCATTGTTGCCAGCAATAGCAAAGTGTACCAAATCAATTAATGGTGTCACACCAATCCAATAACACTAAAACAGCACTAATTTGAAAAATCAATTTTTTTCGCCATTTTCCAATTTCGAAAATTGCAGGAATATTATTTTTCCTGTCTGAGAAACCGCTCGTACGACCTGACAAATCGAAATTGAGGTCTCTTGAGCCATGCATATGATGGATAGGATTCCATGAAAAATAATTTTTGTCCGAGATTTGAGTATGCCCCTTAAACAAAAATGAAATACACTATCTGGGAATTTATGGGGAGCCATCATCCGACTAACCTCGACAACTTCTGATGGGCTTGGCGGTCTGAAAATAAAATAGATCATGTAATGATTTTGTACGAAAAAAATGCTTCAATTTCTAGAATTTTACCAAAAAAAGAAGGGAGATGAAGAGGAAATGAAAAACACTCATGTTTCTACTTTTCTGCCCAAACTCCAATCAGGTTAGCAACAAATGTCTGTTTCAGTTTCCTTTCGCCGAAAAAAATTCGACGAAAAAAAACTTTGAGGAAAAGCCAAAAAGGGGTTGAAAGGCGGGAGGGTGCAGAAATAAGGAAGCATGTGGACAAGGTCCGTAGCGTTTATTTATATTTATATGTATATATATATATACGTATATGGGAAAGAAGGAGGGCTTGTTTCGAATTGTAGAAGAGAAACAGAGAGAAGAAGTGAAAGAATGTAATGAAACGCGACGCGATCAAATGATCTCTTTAAAGGTCCGACGCTCTATAAAAATTATTTCTCAGGAACGTTTAAGCCATTAATTATTTAGCAGAGATTAATGCATAATTCATTGAAGTATTATTTATTGCTTGGAATGTTAATGATACTAATAATTGAAAAAAAAAATCGAGAAAAGGCAAACTGAAAAACAACGTAGATAGCTTTAAGTGTTTAGTGAACTAGATAGTTTTAACGAATGTGGCGGTCGATTTTTTGTCTTAAAATTTAAAAAAAATCCAAGAATTAACTGAAATTAATACATCTTCTTATAATTGCAGAGTTTTATTTAATTGATGCTGCAACGAAGATTCTAGTAACATTGCAGGTTGGGTGACTTAGCTGATATTTTTTATGAATATATAAAAGGTCCGAAATGAAAAGGTCGACACAGAAAAATGTCGACAAAATTGCAATTTTTTATCGTGTCATAGAAAAATTCGCAATCAAGAAAATGCGCACGAGAGCGCGGAAAAGACAATACGACTCGCAAATTTTTGAAAATGATCGGTCAGGCGGAAATCATGGACCCAGCGAGACAAATTATTGTAGGCGAATTGCGAGCTGTTGTGCGGAACCACAGCGATTGTCGAAATAGGCCACGCCTTCCGACAAAAGCCGTGGCCAGAAACAATTATCTCAGTCGACAAGTGCCTCATTATGGTATTAGTGTTGGCCAAATACTTAATAGGGAGAGTGTAGATGGATTACGGTAATTGAGCAAGATTAGGCACAATTTCGAGAGAAGAGGGGATGGCAGATGTTAGCACATGATATTCTAAAATTCAGGCTGCTAAAATAAAAATTAATAGTTGAGAAATGGAATAATAGAAAAGTATTCTTATTATTGACTCATTGCATGACTGAGTGCATCATTAAGAAGAAAAACAACAACTCTTTTCATGTTCCTTCTCTGCTTTTATAAGAGTAAATAAAAAACAATAATCGTTTTGGCAGTTTGCGTGTCTTAATAAATTAAAACATGGAAGACAATGGCCGGCAAGAAATTACGAATTAGTGGTACTGAGGATTCCAATGAATTTGCATTCCATGAACAAATGAAAAATTTATGTCCACATCAAAACCAAAATCGTGACGAGCCCTGACTGACTTAACACTCAAAAAAAAGAATTTTCTCAGCATTTTGCCCATTCTTTTGCTGCACTCGTTTTGCTTCAAAGTTGCGAATTCCGCAGCGACGAAACATTTGTGACAAGATGTACACATACGCGAAGGAAAAAAAACTACATGAATATAGACATGGTGAATATACATAAATATATTTTTATTATATTTTTATTGGTTCGAAATAACAGAAAGAAAGAAAACTGGGGCGGATGATCGAGCGATGTGAAATAAAACTTGACAGAAAATTGTGATGTGCGAAAAACATATTTTTTGCGTTCGTCTAGAAATTTTTCTTTGAAAACTATAGTTTTTTGTCAGAGAAAAAAGCTAGGGAAGTGTTTTATTGTTTATATTTTAGAGAAAAGTGCAAAAAAGTGGAATTAAAACTCAAACAGATTCAATTCCGTTGCACAATTTTAAAGTTCCAAGTGTCAACAAAAATAAATTTGAAGACTTTATTTGACAGGGTTTTTGAAATTAAATTTTGTGTTTATAGTAAAAATCATGTGATCAGGATTATGCTATTTTGGGTTTTCGGTTTACGGTAGCAAAATGAGGTTTTTAGAATAATCTAGATATAACTGAAAAATAATATGATATTTTAATTAAATTTCCTCATATTGTTCGTTCATTTAGCTCCACCCACTTTCTGTTATGATGAATATGATTTATGCATTTTGCATTATTGACGTTGGAAGCTTGGACGAATACTACGAATATTTTCATGGGTTACGAAACAGCCATATATCATTTAATTCCATTGGGACCTCAATTTTCGTATATGAATTTGAAGAATGATAAGTTATTGAGGATGTAATAGAACTTTTTATAGAAACTTGAATGTACAAAAAATGTGGAAGAAGTTGAATGTAGGAAGTAAATAGCTATTTTTGAGCGAGAAGAGGGATTTGAATTTCGAATATCAATTGAAAGCTAATTTCTAACTCAAAAGAAAATAAAAAAAGAACTTGATATGAACAAAAAAAAGTAGCGGTTGATTGCATAATTTGTTTCCAAGGATCTCGAAGGCCCACGCACATCGAAAACGCCGTCTTCAATCCTCGTATCTTATGCGCATTTTTTGTTTGATTCCTTCAGCTTTTTTTCGCCGTCGTCGTCGTCTTGCGACATTTTGAATTGATGTCTCGAAAAGGAAAATTGGAAAAAAATGTGGCACCGATTCTATTTTTCAATTGTTGCTTGGATGTCGGCAAACACACTTTTATTAATCCTGTACGCGCCGGATAAAAAGGGTTTTTTGCTGCTCCTTCGGTTTGTGCTCACGCTTCAAGCCTCTGCAGCAAGTAATGTAAAATAAAGCGCGGACACAAGAGAAGAAAAAATCTTCGTCGTGCGTCATCTTTTCAAGGAAATGGATCAAGATGAAATTGAATATCCACCAACACAATTAAAGTTATCTTAATCTCTAATTTCATTCAATTTAATCCATTTTTGTGTGTTCTGCTCATGCCGCGAACGATGAAAAAAATTCACGTTGAATGCACATAATGGAATTGTAGTTGGGAATTTTGCACAAAATGGAGTAAATTCCAACATCAATCTCCATAAATGTATGCCTGCAATCTCGAAATGTGCTCTTGCGGACCTGTTCACTCTATTTAATGCAATTGGAATCCCAATGTAATATAATTTCGAAAGCTTCGAAAGAGAAAGTGCAATTTTTTGTTGGAGCGAGGAAATTGAAAAGTGCATTTTGTTTGAGCGCCACATCAACTTGGAACCAGAACAAGATTTTGGGTATGTCTGTGTGTTTTTCTTTTCACACTAGCCAGTTTCGAGAGTTTTGAATGAAACATTTCGGAGTGTTGAGTGCCGAAATGGATGGGAAGCTTCAATTCGTCATGATAAAACTTTTTCCAAACAAGTCGCTCTTGAAAAAACAAGGAACACGTTTGAAAATTGAGAAGAAGTAGGAATTCTATGCGCAAATAGTTTAATTCCGGGGAGCCAGAGGTTAAACTTATACAAATATTGCTCGCATTTTTATATGTTTCATAAATCAACAAACATGTGACCCAAAAAATCATAAAGCGAAGTGGAATTCAGTCTTCATATTTCGCACATACCGCCAGTATTTACATTAAAGCTGTAGAGTGAATATTTTCAGAAAATGCCGATTTTTCAGCATTCTGGAATTTGATAATCATAGAATAACAAAAAATTTATTTGTATTATTATTATTATTAATTAATCAATGAAGTTTTTGAATAATCATCTTGATTCATACCGATTCTGCACTAGGCCCATCTTTGTTCTGCAAATTGAAACCAATTAAACACTGACGGACGGAGCTTTACTATACAACACATATCGTTAATGTAAATTCGCTGCCGGCTCACCAAGCCGGCTTTTTGTTGCGCAATTAAAGCCGCGCATTTCTCGCCGCAAATTCGTCAATGACCTTGTCATTAGAGTCGAATCTTGAAAAAAAAATTGGAGATGCAAGCCGTCTCAAGAAAAACACACATCGCTGATCGCCGCCGCGCAAATGAGCATTCTTCGGGGAATGGGTTCTTTTTCGTTTCGGCACTTCCTTTGCTTGACTTCAATTCCGAGTTAAACTATTGTCGAGCGAAGTTGCATGATGCAAGTTTTTTTCGCGCGGGATTAACAATTGTTGTCGACACAAACCGAATACATTAATTCGACCAAAGCAACTTACTAATTTTGTTGTAGAAAAATGAGTACATCTTGAATCCGCTGATAGCATCAATCTGGAAATTAAAAAACTATTCATTTTATTTATTAATCTATGATGACTAATAAATGAATTGAATTTAAAAATCACCACAGTCAAAACAACGATCATCACCAATAGAATTAATTCAATTATGAAGAACCAATTGGCTAAAAAAAAATGAAATTTTCGGGAAGTAAAATTTTCTTACTTGGTTCGGGATCCTTATCAATTTTGAAGACTTTGGCAGATCGATTCTGCTTACGACCTTCACCTTTCTCCTGAACAACACGTCGTTTGCGAATCTCTTGATCAGCCATTGTCTTGAACTTATAATATTAATTCAATATGAGTGTGTTTGGAGTAAAAAGTAAAGTTGAGAATTTTCGGCCTATTTACATTATTGGAGCCTATGTTACCTAGGTGATATGATATTTTTACACCTGCGCATAACGGAGACATGATATGTCGGATATTATATTAAATGGGTAAAAATCAAGTAACGAGAACTATTACGTAAATATATGAAACTGACTAGATTGGTTAATGACAGGCAATTGATAGAATTGTGCGAAACTTTTAACATGTGTGACCGCATAATTAATTTTTGTAGTCTCTTCGTTGTTTTAGAGAGTGAAATAAAAATTATAAAAATGACAGAATTATTTAAATTATTCAATCGACTTCCGATTTAAATGTTCCTCCAAGCGTTAAGTCCAACATTAGTCATAACATATTAACAGATGTTTATTAAGAAATTAAAAAATAAAGAATAAAAATCTAAAATAACAAAAATTATAATTGAATTCAGTTTAGCACCCGTAGCCGCATAATTCATCAAATTTCACCAATCGCTGTGCACGTTGCCCACAAACAATTGAAGTTGCGATTGAGAATTAGATCTATCAAGGGATTGTGTCTAAAATATTCACATATTCTTTATTATATGGCAAAATCCCGCTTATACCAATGATCTGTGAACGCATTGCGCGATTTCATGCCATTTTGTCGATGAAAACAGATTTTTGTACTCATTGCTCTCAAAAATATCTTCAATTTCGGCAACACTCTTCGATGATGAGAGCAATTCCCTTAAATGGGCGTCCTTTTGAATTAGATTCTTCCAGCGGCCTAAATTTGATTGCCACCCCTTTTCATATAATTGAGCTCGTCAGTAAACTCACTCATTTCCTGCTCAGTTAGTTTACGATAACCAAACCCTCGAATTGGAGCGACCGCATCCATTAAAAGTGTTTCCAGTTCATTGTGATGATGATGTGATTCGGAAGGAACCGACGCTAAAACATCAAAAATCTGTGTTAAAGTGCTGCCAAATTCGACATACGAATTTGTGAGAGGTTTGCCGTTTCAGCAGCGTGCACAATTTCAGTAATCGATCTATATGAAGAAACTGCTCCGTCGTCGTTCAATGATTTGTCATCAATTACAGAACGCTTCTTGATTTTCTAGAAAGGTGCAATTTCCACTGTGATATTTATGGAAGATGATACCTTTGATCTGTCAGTTCCAAACCCAACATCAACTTCCCTTTCTTCATAAACCTCCGAAGTATATGCATAAGCAGGACTAGCAATATCATTATATTCACCCATGGCATATGTCTTGGATACGAATTCCTCCAAATTGGATCTAAAATAAGGCAAAACCAAGTTATTTTTTCAAAAACAAATTGGTATACTTTAGTGGCAAGTTTTTCTTGGGTGCCAGCGGCGCCGCGTTTTTCTTTTTTGCGCTTAGCCGATTCAAAGCCGATTGTCGTGTGGATGTTGGCGTCTGAATTAGCAAAACATTGGCGCAACATGAGAAGCTTTTATTACTTCTGTGGGAGCTTTGTTCAAACTAACGACTGGCACCGGGACCACGCGAGATTCGGTCCCCCTCATAGTTCGCTTATCGAAAATTGTAGCAGTGGAAGTTCGAGGTTTACTTGCTTTATTATCATGACTTCCAAATTCCTCAATTCCCTGGGCAGTTCTAGAAAAATCCAAAAAAATCAAAGATTCTTTTTTTTATAGTAAAGATAATAGCTAGTTCAACTAGAAGCTACCCTATAATTCGGTTTCATTTTAAATAAATTACACACCCCGCTGTTGCATAACCATCTGTTGAATTATCGGTCCACCATGATCTTGTTTCCTGACTACCAACTTGTTTGCCGCCTTCGTCCGCAGCTGAAACATAATTGAAATGCTAATTGTCGTGTCGAATCAACGTTACATGAAACGCCGTCAATCAAGAATCGCCGATTTCTTTCTTCTCGCCGTTTTCGTAGGAAAAAGTATAAGAATAATAAAATGAGCAGCACAAAGATTATAATAAAAGCAGCGATTAGTAGAAAAACCAATGGGAAAGAGGCACGCCGGTTGGATGAGGATGACGAAGTGTTCAAACCTACGAAAATTTGAACCAATAGCATTTCATTGCTTTGTAATACCATTCATATCACGTCCTTCTTGCGGAATGCCTGATACGTCTGGGAAAGACGTACCATCGTTATTATTGTTGCCATTTTGATGGCCTATTGGTATCTGCGGACGAATGGGATTATTATTACTATTAAAGGTGTTTCTTTGATTTTCTTCATCGTTGTTATCATTACTACTACTGGAGCTGACAAATCCATTAGAGTTAATATTAAATCTATCAATGGCTGAAAATTTCAGAATTTAGCGTTTGTTTGTTATATGGTTATATACCAGCATCCTTATTGTTATTCCAGTTTGATGTTTTGGCAGAATTTATATTTGCGTTTTCATCCTGGTTTCTATTTGGAACCATAATGGCTTGATTAAAATCGGAATTTGCTTCAAATGTTGGCTGTCCTAGATTTTCACCTTGTTGAGCAGGTAGAAGAGAGTTAGATGAGGAGGCAGAGGAAGGCAGGCTTAAAAATATAATAGGTACGAATTGTCTTAAGCTTTCTCACTTTTCAATATTAAAATTAGGGTTAACAACGGGTAATGCAATGGTTTCAACAGTTGGAAGACCGTAGACACATTTCACTGTGATTGATTGGTCTCCTTCAAGAATAACTACCGGGTTCTTCCCTATTCGTATTCGATTCTGGAATACATTTCGAGCAGGCTGAAACGTGAAATTAAAATTTTTCAAATATTCGAAAGAGTGATACAATTTGCGTTAAGCACGGGTCATTGAATACGGCGATTTCTATAATATATTTGGTTTCTCCATTGCCTCGAAGACGGCATTCTGGTCGGCCTGGAAAAAATAAAGGAACTGAATATTTGTTTTATTCAGTTAAATTATAAATGTATGATCTCTTCGAAAAAAAATTAACGTTTTTAGATTTTAAAAATATAAATTTGAAAAGATCAAAATTTCATGACGGTCATTTTTTTTTTTTTTTTTATTATCAATCATTTTCCAATCCATTCCACGCACCTGAGACTCCAACAACGATCCAATCATGAAACTTGCCTCCAGGCAACTGTGTTGGATCAAAATTGATCTCGATAGATATTAATTGCGAGCCACATCGGGGTGTCACTAAAAAGGCACAATTCTTTACATTTCCGCTTTGTAATTACTCTGGGTCGATTGTTTTTCAAAAGGAGACGGGGACCCTCTAATTACGCACATACATACACAAACGCCCGCAATTTTTCAAACAAACGGAACTCGGTGAGAATCGAGAAACGTGTGAAAACTGCAACCTTCAAGTGGTCTTTAATTACCCAAAGATGGAGTAATGATGCGACTTGATTCAGAAAAAATTTTGAAGGTTATTGCTCTGAGGTGTTATATCGAAACCCATCCTCCCTCTTCTCATCATTCTCTCCATATTCTCAGTATGTCACATTCAATGTGTATGTTACGTTTTGGGTTACGTGCGCGACGATTTAATTACCATCAAATGCGCATCCATACCTCAACTCTCATTGTATGTGGATGGATACATAATTACCGGTCGCGCGTGCGACGCCACAGTAGTCTCCCCCAACCCGAAAGCAAAGCCCATATATAAACAATATATACATTCATATAAAGTCCAAAACCCACCTTGAGTGTTTTTTGCAATTGTCACTTGAAATTCGAAGCATGGAAGATTTATGAGTAAAAGCAAAATGAGCGGTTTGTAATTGAAGGTTTCCATTTTTCTGGCGATTCATTTCATTATTCAACTCAATATTCTTCTGAAATATCGATTATTCAATTCAATAATCTTCTGAAATATGTATTGAGAAATAGGCGCGACGTGAATGATCTTTGATAATTATGGCAATTTTGCAAGTCCTTAACCTCTAGTAGGTAGAACTCTCTAGAAAAAAAAAACGTTGGGGAGAACTGTAACTGAGAGTGAGAGTACTTAATGCTATGCTAGTAGGACCGATAACGTAACCAAAACCGCAATGTTGATTTATGTTCGTTTTATTATCGTGAACGAAATCCGGTTTTGGAAAATATTATTTTGGCATCAAATGCATCATTGAATTCCTTTTTCAGGGGATAACAACCAAACGTTATTCTGAAATATATATGTATATTGAAAAATAAGAAGTCCTGTAAAGAAGAATTTTGAAAGACAAACAAAAAAAACGGTTTTGTTAGCCTTAAATTGAATCTGCAGTAATTGTCACATGGGTTTGGCAAAATTTTGAAGTTCGAAGAATGCTTCTGTCTGTGGACTAAGACAAAAAAAAATGTATCACCGTTTTGCAAAAAAACTTTGGTTTTCAATGAAAACTGCATAGCTCATAGCGGAATCAAAAATATAAAAAATTTCATAGCAATAACCTAAAATACATTTCACAGTAGGAGCAAAAATACGAAATCGAAGAACAAGATTAAATTCGAAACACAATTCAAAATAAAAGTGAAACGAAGCAAAACCAACAAAACCGGCGATAATAACCATAAAAAAGAAAATGAAAACTGGTGAGAATTTCAAATCGGATTAAACCACCCAAACGATCCGAAGGCGTGCCAGCTATTGCAATTCGGAACACTAGGCCAGTTTGACTAATACATATTCAACTAGAGACAGTACCTCCCCTACTCGTCGTCCAACCTCACTAATTTTGTTGTCGGCCCGCCGGGGTACCGTCGAAGGGGCACGCCCTCCTCTGTGCGCGTTGACTGTTCAAACTAGATGTGAGGATGAATGTTCGCCTCCGGAGAAAAATTCTACATATACGATTTCTTAATATACTGAAAAAGAGTTACGGAAATTTAATAAATGAATCCGGGCTTTTAAATGTTATAAATTTCATTATCAAAATTTTAAACTTCAAGGATTGTAAAATTATTTCGTGCAAGTTTCTAAATTTATATAACGTTGGTTTTCAAAAATGAGATTATTATGAAAATAAAGAAAAACTTCAAATCAAGAATCGCATGTTGAATCTTGACGTGTATGGACTATTGAAGTAGTGTACCTGTCTGTACTATTTGTGGAGTAGGCGAAGATTTTTTAATCCTTTGTCCTTTCACGGAAGAACAACTTCGATTCTGAAATCCAGATTCTTCTGAAAGAGTCAATATTTGGCCTTGAAATTCTCCAATATTTCCGCAATTCAGTTGGCGTTTGTCGGTCAAAACCATTTTCTGTCACTCAGATTCCCGAGATCGAAATTTCCGCTCGATTAAAACGAACCATACGGTATTCATTTTCACCCAATTAAATTTCGGTGAACTGAACTGTAAAATATTGCCCTTTTATGGTATTCACTATGTACTTTTTCTCTGGAAGTGATGCGTCCCTTATTTCTAAACTGTTCACGAATCAAAGCCAATATAAGATGAGTAATTGGGTCTTACGAAATCGCGAAGATTTTATGATAGAACAACGTAACATATCTCATCATACACTTGAAATGAAATGAATCGCGCACTATTTGTGTGTGCGTGTTTGTGATTTTTTTTAATTATTCCAGAGAAATGACGACAAACAATGAATGCGCCGTCGATCCCTCCCACTTTTCATGTTTTAGCGGCGAAATTAAACAGAGACAATGAGAATTTTAATTAAAATTTGAAGACGACAAAGAATCAAATATTTTCAAAGAAGCTTTTTCGGCGAAATAAAATTACTGCGATTATTGGGTTCAAAAAAATAAAACGATATAAATATTTATAGAAAAATCCAAATTTATATTATTTCAATCAACAGAAGCAAATTAGATTGGTATTTTAAATAAATACTATATATTTTCCAGTTTTTTTTAACAAATTGGTTCTCAGCCAAAATATTAGTTGATTATTGCGTCGACTCGATATTCGTCGAGTAAACCTTTTATTCAAAGCCACCTGAAATCTCTACAAATTTTCTGGAAATGTTGTAAGCACACTACATTCTTTTAGATATCCTTGTGACTTTTCTCACATATCGCCTCTCCATATGTTCCACAAAAAACAAAATAATATGACGAGATATACTTCTCAAAAGACAAAAGGTATACTTAATGATTAGATTGTTTCATAAAAAAAATATATTTTCAATGTACTTTTAATTGTGTGGGTTGTACCACTCAAGCTTTCCCTTTGCTCACTAGTCCCCGGAAACCAACTATTCTGCTCATTTTTTTTAATTGGGTATGATTACTATTTTCCGGTTTGATATATACAAAATTTCAAGTTTGGAAAATAGTGAAAGAGCTACCGTCATCTCATTAAGAATACCAAAAATTATTATGCGATTTTTTAGAACATTCATTTTACTAAACAAAGGGGGGGGTATTCAAAAAAGAAAAACTTCTTTTTGGCGTCAGAAATGCCTGAATTTATTATTATTGGTATTCACTTGGCCACAAAGATGCGTGTGAACTTCTTTTCAAGAAAAAAAATATTTCTGAAAGGAGTCACACTAGGTCCTACTGTAATAGTAGAACATCCAGTGAAAGCCTTGCGCAAGTACTTTTGTCCTAGCTAAACTGTGCCAATTATGTAGATAGTAATCAAAAATGTGTATATATGTATTTATTGCGATTCGAGAAACTACCGAAACAAGTGTTGATTGGCATAAACCATTATTGCGCAAAACCAAAACCAACACCGGTTTGCATGCAAATGTATATACATATGTAAGCCGCTCAATGAGTAATGAACCAAATCCACCTGTGTGAATACTGAATGATCATAAATAATATTGTTGACTACCCCCCCCCTGGCGGGGGTCTCTAAAGAACAAGGATAACTAACATACATGAAGAACAAAAAACTTTTGGGACTTGTTCAATCTATCAAATCTGGGTTCATTTTTCTGACAGAAACTTGGTCTAACTCTCTTTTGACAAGAAAATGTTTCTTTAGAGCCACGTATAAAAGCTTTCCTTCCAAAAAAGACATAGAGATATTCATTTATTGTGTATGTCTTGTTCTCCATGAGAAGTATGCACTTGACTTTCTTGGTTCGGGTAGGTTTTAATTATTTTTCCAGTATGTTGCCTGTTGAGAACACTTGAAATCCCAAAATGGGTTTTTCCAAATATTCATTTCGGCGTTTCCTTTTTTAATGGAATTTTTGTCGAGAATTCCGCATTATAAATCAAGTGTTGAAGAATTGGTATTATAAGAATAATTAATATTCCAAAAAGTAAAATGGCGATGCAACCAAGAGGAAACGTCATTCCTCTATTCAAAAACACATCCAATTTCTCTCAAACTAGGAAGAATATTCATATAAGTGGTATACCCACCTCGTCATTTTTTTCAGGAAGAAAATGTTTCAAAGAAGAAGTTTCAAACGATTACGGTACCTCAAAGAGAATGCAGGACCCCTTGCATAAATATCAAACATAATACTTCTTCTTAGGAGCTGCTTAACTTTTGTTAAAGGATAATTCCTTATTTTATCTCTATGGGGTACATATCAGGTATTCCTACAATATTATAATTTTCGCACGCTTTGATTCCCACAATCTATTTTCTGACTTGTTTATAAGGATTTCTGAAGTTACCTTATATATATATATATATATTTATTTATATATCTAATAACGATTTTATTTTCTCCCGAGCTATACGATTCACGTCGCATTCAAAAAGTTGAGAAGCGTTTGACATTCCAATTGGAATTAATTTTCAATCAAAACTGGACGATTGTATTCAATGTACTATCGAGATTTTCTTGAAATCAATTCAAACTCCGTGGTTCGTAAAATTGATTACACATCGCCGAAGCATGAAATTGGATTTTCAAACAATTCTTGTGATATCATATAAATTCGAGAATGCTCCGATAACTTTCAAGGAATTTGTCAAAATTTGTCGGCTTGATTGCTAACTCTTTTATCTCTATCTGAAACATTCAGCAGCTCTCAGATACTGGTTCAAACATCAAAGTCTAGACTTGAACAACACTAAAACTTTTAAATTTTAATTTCGCATCATAAACAAGAATTTACAGAAACCTTCTTTTTCTTTAACATTTACTGATGAATCATTCATTTTTATTTACGGATAATTGAAACGTTTGAAATTTTAATTATGGGCTTCAAATGGTTCTAATTGAATTTTGTAGGTTATTTCAAATGTTGCCAACATCTCAAATTTTGTCATTTCCTTGAGTTTGTCAGTTTGTCTTAATGACTACAGCGTTCCTTCTTTCATTATCGTTTAATTATAAACTTCAGACTAAGACTCCAGTTACAAATTCAAAAGTTTCCGAGTGTTACAGTTCTAAAAAAGGACATTTTGGTATTCTACCAAACTATCCATGGAGATGGATTTACTGTCTTCAGCTAATTGTCACATCTCAAGCCACACCAATTCTTTCCACATTTCACACTTTTCCTAATTTTCCTCCTAACTGAAAAACTAAAGAAAATTCACGAATTGTAAATTATAGTCATATTATGATAATCAACTGAATAGGCTGAAAATTGAATGCAGCCCCCATTCTAGTCCCTCGTACAAGTTTTTAAAAATCGTTTTGTCAATATTTAGTCGGTTTTCATTAAAATAGCGTGGTCCGGATGCGCGTTTCTTTTAATTTTTGTGTTGTATATCGCGTGACTTGGTGGTCTTCATTTTTGTTGAGCGCGGGTCGCACAAAACAAATCGTGACTCGAATGATGATGCGTTGGTGGCTCACGGAAAACTACTATTTCATCCAAAATAGCATTTTTTTTAATAAGAAACGAGATTTCCTCATAC